AGAGATATAGCCTTAGAGTCATTTTGGCACCATGCCTAAAATTTGTAGCAGCGCTGTACGAAAACGGTTTCGTCTATCGACACTAAATCCATAACATTTTGTCAGCACAGTCTGAAGATGATTTGACTCGATTTTGGTGAAAATCGGACCAAGGCTTGAGGAGGAGTTCGAAAAAGTAGGTTTACAGCATAAATCAAAATGGCCGACAGGCAGTTCGGATTTGCTAAGGAAATATTGTCTGTTAGTATGTCTGTTGTCGGCATAAGCCAAGGAATATTTTGAGACCAGTTTCATTGGAATAGGCTAATGCAATCAAAAGTTATTAGCATTTTTGGAAATGTCATAATTAATAATAAATCAATGGTTTATTACTCTTGACCAATAGGTGGCGCTGTTACCAAATTGATGTGGCGTGGTCCGCCAAACCGTTGCGGAGATATGGCCTCACATCCATTTTTATGTGCTTTTCGTAGACTTCCTTCGTGCGTTATTCGAGAACGGTTGGACAAATCAACTTGAATTCCATAACTTTTTGCCAGCATGGTCTGAAGATGATCTGAGCCAATTTTGGTGAGAATCAGACAAACCGTCTAGGACGAGTTCGAAAAAGTAGGTTTTACGAACAATTAAAAATAGCGAAAAAACTAAACCTTGAATTTTGGTGTTCATTCGACTCAGCATGAGCCAAGGATTCAGAGGAAAAAGGAATTTTCCTTCTGTGCCTTACGGTTCAAAAGTTATTAGCATAAAGAAATTGAAATTTTGGACAAGTGGTGGCGCTAGAGAGTTAGAGTTAGAGACTCCAAATTTGCTATGGTGACTTTTCTCACTGTCCTCTATCAGTGTGCCAAATTTCACAACTTTCCCGCAAGCGGTTCTATGGGCTGCCATAGACTTTCGGCGGAAGAAGAAGAAGAAAATTGACGCTAACGGATACAATAGGTGCCATTGCACCTTCGGTGCTTGGCCCCTAATAATTCATAGAAACCTATAACTGTATGCATTCAAAAGGAAAAATGTCATAAATCTATGTATAAAATACTCTTTATGCAGGGTTTTTCCGCAGATGCTGCTGGCAAGCAGATGGTAGACAGAAATTCTGCAACACTGCAGGTAGACTAAAGTGTTTCACACTAGAGTCAAGGCCAAATGATTCAAGTGGGTGGACATTCTGTGCCTACTCTATAATTTCATAGTGAATATTACAAAGTGTACTGGTTTCCTAAGTATTTATCTCACATCAAACACTTTAAAACTGAATTCAATTTTCCTTTAAATGTACCAGATCACACATGCACCAAGCTGGAAATGACATTTAAACAGCTGTGCTGGAAATATGGTAGTACATTAAAAGTGCTTAGTGCACAAGATCTAGACATGCTGAGCTATGGTTCAGGTTCAAAACACAGGTTCATATCTGGCCTGCATTGTGTTCTGATTCCGTTTTCCCCATCATTTCCTGTCCATGTCTTACTGTGTCTGTAACAACAATTGCAAAAAGCCCACAGATAAAAATTTTAGGCAACAGGAAATACAAAGAAAGAGACAAACTGCACTTCAGACAGGCTAACCTTTTCACTGTCACACAAACCCAATCAATATGAGACTCAATATCCGTGAGTCAAAGATTTGCTGTCAACCGCTGGATGGACCTCTGCGTGAATCTTTTCCACACAAGAACTAATCAGCTCAATGCAACGATACTGAGAGCAAAACTTCTGAGAACTCTTCCTAATTTCTCCTCCCCCTCCTCTCAGTTTACATAGAAATCTGGCAATGCTTGAAAAAGCTTTGTCTTCTCATAGACATACGTCACGGCTGGGCAGAGAATATGTGATGCTCTCTTTGTGTCACACGAACTTGCAATAAGCTGCTTTTTTCTTATCAGGTCACAGGCCACACCGAAAACTATTAACAGAAACCCGAGTCACACCTCTGAAAAAAAGAGATTAAATACACACACACACACACAAAAATGGTGGAGTGTTCACTTTTATTGGTGGAAAAGGGCCTTTCATAAGAAAAACTTCACAGAAAAGAGTAATGATGAGCAATAAAATGAGAATTCAATGCAGAGACATTCATAACAATTAAAATATTTTTTTAAATGACAGATGTAAAGAAATATAAAAATGTGCAATATAAATCACTATGCAGAATGCAATGAATTCAACTATCTGACCAATGAACAGAAAACACTTTTAAATATGACTAAATCATTAATTATGCTGTCGAAACTTACACATTTTCTACACAAAATTAGAATAAAAGTGCAAATTATATGTTTTTATTTTCAATATGTTGACTAGATGACAACTGCTAAATTAAACAGTGTAATGTGGTCATATGACAACAGTGGAGCATATTACTTTTCAAAATGTTTATTAATTGTTGCATTGCGTATTGCTTATTGTTATACATAAAAGCAGCTACACAGTATAACTGCATGCAGTACGCTAAAAGTCCATCTCACTTTAATTACCGGTACAATTCACCCAGAGCAACCTGGGGTTAAAGGAAAAAATCTTCCAAAAATGAATATGTACTCATCCTCAGGCTATCAAGATGTAGATGAGTTTGTTTCTTCATCATAACAGATTTGCAGAATTTAGCATTACATTCAATGGATCCTCTGCAGTGAATGGGTGCCGTCAGAATGAGAGTCCAAACAGCTGATAAAAACATCACAATAATCCACAAGTAATCCACACCACTCCAGTCCATCAACTGATGTCTTGTGAAATGAAAAGCTGCTTACAATCCATTTTACCTTTACATCGTCACTTCTGGCCAAAATATGAGCCTATAATCCATAACAATGCTTCGTCTAATTACAAAAATCCATCACCTGTTGTAATTAAAATCCAGCGACATATTTGTTTAGAACCGTTTCCACTTGCAAACGGTGCTTGATCTGTGGATATTTTTCTCTCCCGATTCAGATGAGTCGACTTTTCACCAGAGAAAACAATATTATGGATAGAGGACTAGTATTTTAGCTGAAGTGTTTGAAGTTAAATTTGATGATTTTTTTATTACAAACAGCTTTTCTGCTTCACAAGACATTCATTGATGGACTAGAGTCGTGTTACCTGTGAATTATTGTGATGTTTTTATAAGCTGTTTGGACTCTCATTCTGGCGGCACCCATTCACTGCAGAGAGGATCTACAGGTGATCAAGTGATGCAATGCTAAATTTCTCCAAATCTGTTCCGATGAAGAAACAAATACACCTACATCTTGGATGGCCTGAAGGGGAGTACATTTTCAGCTAATTTTCATTTTTGCATGAACCATTTCTTTAAGTACAATGATACAAGAACATGATAATGGTGATGCATTGGTCATTTTTCACAGAACTCAAACCGTTAAGAAGCAACCAGTCCTAAGCTTTATCCTCCTTTAAAGTCAATTGTTATGTTTAACGAGACAATTAATGAATCTGCTGCAAGCGACTCATTTTGCTCGCAAACACACAGATGCAAGAACACCAGGTGGGAAAATGGAACCGTCAGCTGCTTCATTGTTATGACCAAAACATGCTGGCAAAGAGTTTATTTGCTTCCTCAGTAAATCCTGATGAGGGATGAAAGATGAAAACACAAGGAAAAAACAAGGAAACAGAAGCATGCACTGCGTCGGGTCTACTATTGTGCTCCAGAGGAAAATGATTCTCTGAACTAGTATTTTAGCTGAAGTGTTTGAAGTTAAATTTGATGATTTTTTTATTACAAACAGCTTTTCTGCTTCACAAGACATTCATTGATGGACTAGAGTCGTGTTACCTGTGAATTATTGTGATGTTTTTATAAGCTGTTTGGACTCTCATTCTGGCGGCACCCATTCACTGCAGAGAGGATCTACAGGTGATCAAGTGATGCAATGCTAAATTTCTCCAAATCTGTTCCGATGAAGAAACAAATACATCTACATCTTGGATGGCCTGAAGGGGAGTACATTTTCAGCTAATTTTCATTTTTGCATGAACCATTTCTTTAAGTACAATGATACAAGAACATGATAATGGTGATGCATTGGTCATTTTTCACAGAACTCAAACCGTTAAGAAGCAACCAGTCCTAAGCTTTATCCTCCTTTAAAGTCAATTGTTATGTTTAACGAGACAATTAATGAATCTGCTGCAAGCGACTCATTTTGCTCGCAAACACACAAACACACAGATGCAAGAACACCAGGTGGGAAAATGGAACCGTCAGCTGCTTCATTGTTATGACCAAAACATGCTGGCAAAGAGTTTATTTGCTTCCTCAGTAAATCCTGATGAGGGATGAAAGATGAAAACACAAGGAAAAAACAAGGAAACAGAAGCATGCACTGCGTCGGGTCTACTATTGTGCTCCAGAGGAAAATGATTCTCTGAAGTATTTCTGCAGCGTGGAACACCTATCACACGACTACAGGAAAAGAAAAGAGAAAGGAAACAGTGTGCTACAGCTATTAAGTTACATACAACTTTATCTCTACATTCCAAAGTTTCCACACTCCTTACACACACACACCTCTCTCGCCCACACACAAAGTTTCACTATAGGGGAGGGTTGAAATGAAGCTCTGAGTTTCCTCCTGAGCCTGTTCCTGCTTAGATTTCAGTTCTGTGATGCTCTGATTTCATTTTCCTTCTATTGTTGGAGTCGACACAGCTGTGAGCGGCTACAGCACACAGGAGAACATGCTTACAAACACACTCGCTGCAGTTTAAAAGAGATTCTGCAGTGTGCTGTTATCTCTTTGAAATTAAAAGGGCCACTTCTTCATCACTTGTAATTACTCAGATGCATACAGACAATATCAGATGAAGCATTTTCAGAGGAGCTGCATGTATTGTATTACTACTCTGGAGAGATTTTGCAAACACTTACCAAATTTCAACAAAACTAATCTAAGAGCTAAACAAAAACGTTTTTATGAACGTATTTTCAAATGTACTTTTCATTCAGCATTTAATTATATTCTTTTAAAATCTATTAACAACTAAAAAGTGGTCAATAATATTAAGAAATGATATAATAATAATATTGTATTAATAAAAATATATTTTTAAATTTATTTATTTTATTCTATTATTTTAAGGTTGTTGATATTATAAATGCATATGTAAGAGCATATTTTATTATTATTAATAATATAGATTACTGACTGATATTTTAATAGTACACTTAGCAATATATTATATTTTTTACAACATATTTTTCATGTAGTTTGAGTATTAAAGTACAATTTAAATACTTTAATTAACGCTAAATATTATTAATAAATAATATATTACTAAAATATTATTAATCAATATTACCAATATATTACTCTATTAAAAACATATTTAATAATAGCAAATGTTCAGATTTCATTTGTAATATTGTGATTGGTTTGTAAAGAACTCTTTACATATTCCTCTTCATTCTAGCACACATTAACCAGAAGAGCAGCAGTCAAATGTAAAACACACAGTGATCAACTCCTATTTGAACAAGATAAAGGCGTTTACCTGGCCGCCAAATCAAGTCAGCTAAACTAGGACTTTACACACAACTTGTCTCCACAGTAAATGTATATATACACAATAAATGTTCTTCTTTTGAATTTTCTATTAATTAAAGAATTCTGAAAAGAATTCAAAAGGTTCCTAACAACGAACACACGAAGTTTCGAAATCTGACAGTCCGATATCAAGGGAAACGAACGAACCGGTTTATCCAGACAGACGAGATGACTTCACTAAAACGACACCTTTAACTACCTCAGCATCCGATTCATTTACTCAGACTTTGAATAAAACAAGTTTAGGTGAAATACATCAGCTTTAAATGACACTGTTTTCTTTAATCAGTGATAAACAAGCAGCTCGTGAAGGACGGAAGTTTTAAAGCCCGCAGGTGCGCTCGCATATACTTCCTGACAGGTGCACGAGCACAACCTGTGGTAGAAATGACCTGTCACCCAAACACATTTATGATTTAAATGTGTGCTTTTAGGCGAGTCAAAAGAATATACTGTGTAACTTACCATCTTGAAGTTAGAAATACGGAAGGAATGTTGAAATCCACAAAATTAGTATTCACTTCCCAGCTGGTCAAGGCCGGAGTCATCGCTGCCCTTCCCAAACTGTGGGGGAGAGAAAAGCTGCGCATGCGCTGATGCGTAGCTGAGCGCTCGACCTTGTTTTCGCCTCCACTATCTGAGCTCTGATAGGTTGAAGCACTGCACCTGGCTTGAAAAGGGGCGGGGCAACACCCTGCTCACATATTTTCCTGTACGTTACCTTTAAACGCCTTTTGTAATATGCTGCCTTGACATTTATGAATATAGATATGGCATGAATGAATATGTTGTTAAGCAACCCACTTAAGAACACAATTAAGAATACATTAAAACTTTATTCTTTATAAAATAATCATATAATAATAACAATTAAAGTACAGTTTGCTATTATGAATATGAATATCTTGTTATCCCTCAGAAAAATAACTGGCATTAATAATAAATAATTGTAGTGTTGGGTCCGAGTCCACCTTGTCGAGTCCGAGTCGAGTCCTAGTCCTTAACCAATGGGAGACGATTTTTAATGTATTTTTATCTTAATTTTATGTTGTTGCTTTTTATCTTCTATGATAATTTTTTAATCTTTTATTACACATGACGTGGATTCGTCTGTACTCAGAGAAATTTCTTAGTCCAAGATGTCCGTGTCAAGGGACAATAAACATAAAATTTCTCAAGAGCAATTTTTGAAGGAGACACAAATAATACAGCTAAAATTGTACTTGTAAGGATATGTATACACAGAGGAAAGCCTTACTACTATTAGTGCAGCAGGCAGCCCGTGCCAAATTAGACAACTTCAAGCTGTTGTGGTGGCGCCGCCACAGCGCTCGTGTCTGTTGTAGACATTACTATCCGTCACAGTGTTGCCAAGTCCGCGGTTTTCCTGTGGAATTAGGCTACTTTATCACTGTTGCCGCTGGTTGAAGCGACTCCAATAATGTGTATTTTAGCCCCCAGAACGCGATTTTTACCAGGGGACCCCCTCGAAACGCGGATAGATTGGGCTAGTTTTGAGTAGCAATTGAGCGAGTTTTGTTATGAAAACCTGGCAACCCTTTCCGTCAAGCAGGTAACATTATTATTGCTAACATAGCGACTCGTTGAAAAATACATTGGCATTATCTGTATTAAAGAGAAAATAATCACTTCATCCGATG